TCTATGAAAGTTACTAGTTGCACATACAATATTTGTACTTTCTAAAACAACAAAAAAGAATACTTTTATTTGATGATTATCGTGAATTGACCCATCAGATTCTTCCTCAAAAAACTCAGCAAGATCACTTAGTAAATTATGATATCCTTCGATTTGAAAATAATGCAAATTACTTTTATGTGCTATAAGAAATTTATCTATTATCATTAATTTTAATGTGTATAAAAGTTCTTTATATCTTGTTGTTTATCAATATCTCTTTGAAACTTCTTTCTTAGTTAATTTTTGTCATCTTATCTGGAAGGATAATTAATAATTGTTAGTAAGTAATTACAAGCAATATCAATTAAAGATAATAATAATTATATATCATTTTCACAATTTGCTTCATAAAGTTTTTTTTGTTAGACATCCGATAAGGTTGTTTAACATAATTTTTATATAGAGTTTTGTAAGTTTCTGTGGTTATACTATTTATAATTTCATATTCTTAAATAGCTAGCACTATATGATAACATCATGCATGAAGCTTTGACAATTGCAAGTCACTTGGAGAATAATGAGCGAAAAGATCAATGAATTCACAAGCCCAATTGATAATAAGTATCTATATATTAAAGTATTAGAAATCGATACATACTAAGATTAATCAATTATCAAATATTTTCAAAAATAAACTATTCTTTTCTTAGAGTAGTTTATTTTTAAAGATGTATGGTATCTTAAATTAACAGCATGATTCATATATAAAAGATTCCTCACAGGTAACCAGGTATATTTTAAGAAACTTGTAATATATACTGTATAACTGTTCGTTACTAATATTTGATTCTGTATTATAAAGATTATTGAGCACAAAAATAATTACTTTCATTATATTTTACAGATCATTAGCAGTCATACGCATCATATCAAACATGTTCTTCATTATTTTAAGCTCTTAAAATCTAGGAATTTCTGTCAACCATTGCTCAAGAGTTTGAACAGATCAACTTTTACATTGTTCATTTAAAAATTCTTTGGTATAATCCAACATATATTTAAACAAACTGAGATCTAGTATATGTATTCGATCAGGAATAATTACTTGATAAATATTGAAGTTTCTAATAATTAATAAGTATTGTAAATAATAAATTTTATAATATAATAGCAAAATTTTAATTGATACCTTATTTCCCAAAATATATTATGTTCAGTGTAAATCGAATTCTCATGTGCCTGATTATTTTGATTTCTTGTTTTATATTTTGTGGAGTTCTAAGTGATAAGTCTGTTAATTTCATGTTATTCAAATTAATTTTTGAAATTAAATAGAAACTACAAGATTTCTTTGAAGTTGAGGGTTGATAGATATTTGTAAATTTATTAACTTCAGCTAGGTCAGCCAAAATTACACAGATTCGTAAAATAAAAGAGATCACATTGCGACGCACTACAAATTGAAGTTCTGGATAATTTAGTATTGGTTTGAGAAGAATTGTTAGACTTTATTAAAAAACAGTTCATTGTAATTGTCTAAAACTTTCTGAGTTTTTGGTTTTAGAATTTTTAGCTTTTAGAATAGGAAGATATCTGATTAATGTCTTTAATTTTGATTTATTTCTTTGCAAGTTAGAAATATTGCTGAGAGATAAGAATATTAGATGTTTAGAAGTTTTTTTCATATGATTTAAGATCGTTATATCTGAATAGATGATAATTGAAAGCAATCATTGTCCAATAGCAAGTTTTATTTCTTCTTATCTTCACCAATTATAGTTATATTGTTCTTCGAATAAATGGTGTTCGATACTATTTTTAATTTCTCTTTTTCTTTATAATTTAGTACTAAGTTCTGATTAATATTTTCAATTACTAATAGAAATTTAATTGCCTGAATCACAGATTAGTAGTGGAAAATATACTTGTTGTCCTGAAATTTAGTGATCAAAACTTCTTTGAACTTCATATATCAAATATTTGCTTTATCTAATAATTTCTTTTCAACTTTTGTTAATGAAGATAACAGCAAATCATCTAGTTCAGAGAATTTATTAAAGAACTAAATAATGGCGTTACTGGCTGAATTTGATAATTGATATTTGATTGTGATTTCTACAAATTTGCGGTAAGCTTCATTAGACCAAATTACTGTTTGTGAATGATACAAATCATTATAAATATCATCTAATGACACTCCTTCATAATCTTCTTTATTTTTCAAATTCTAACTCATGTTAAGATTTTATTTTCATTGAAAGAGGATTATCTGTTGATTCGACGAAAAAAGTTTCTATTTCCATTGAAATAAGATCACTTGAAATCAATGTTAATTGAATATTAGAAATATTTTCTTCACTCTAAATGAAAGTTATTATTAAGTAATTATTTGTTAATATTCTTAATCAAAAATATTGAATTATATTTACCATAGAATTATCTGATAAATACTCAAAATTATATTTGATTTACAGTATATTCCAAAGTTCATCATCTAAATAAGATATTTGTTGAGAAATAATTATTGGTGAAAATATCACATTACAAAGCCAAGGATACTTTTGGGAGATATATAATATTATCAGATCAAAAAATTTGCATTCAAAAACCAATCAAATTGCTTGATTTTTAAAATCAAGCAATTTGATTGATTTTTGAGCAAGATTTTTTGATCTAATAATGTCACATACACTATTCTTAAAAGTCTGGTTCAAGTTTAGTTCAAACTTTGAATCAGATTCAATTTGATATGATTAAGCATTTTTAGATAATAATAATAATATATATATTGTATAAATAAATTAATTAATTGATCAATTATCATTATATATAGTATTCATTATTTGATATTGATAAAAATCTGAAGCTTTTTGGTTTATACATAAATGTTAAGAAAGTTGGGTATAGTGCTCCAATCGGGTCGGGTCAAATCCGTGACCCGACCCGAACCGCACACTTCGGGTCGGGTTGGTGTCAAACCAGACCCGAAACATTTCGGATCAGACTAAAAATCGTTCAATATTGATTGAAACTTGTAGATATATACACAATTACATTCCGGACAACTCTACTTAAGACACAAAATACAAGTGTCTTAGTAAAAATAAAAGTTATTAACGAAAAACTATTTCGGATCAAACCCGACCCGAGCAGAGCTTTAGTTGGGTAGGCAAACGTTTTTATTTTTAGATGCGTATTATAAGGTTAATTTATTTGAAAGAAAATATACGGAATGATGGCTCGCATAAAAAATATTTATCCTCACCAAAATCAAAATTTCGATATCCTCGTCTTGTTGCTATTCAAAGGTTTCTTCATTAATTCAATTAAATGCAATGCTGCACCATAACTAGACTGATAGCCATATCCTCCATGCCCATAATTATGACACACCAAAATTCTCTTATCACGACCTAATATAGAATTTATCCATTCTGCTTCAACTCGAATTCCGCCTTTTCGAGCAGGTCTCAATCCAACGCCATGTCTTTTAATCTTTAGCTCTTTTTGACCAACAGGTAAAAGGTCAGGTCGAGTAGCCAAACATCGTTTTATTATTGATTCAGCAATTACAGGATCCGGAACTGTTGTATAATCGTTCTCAACATACGTACCACCTAGAACTACTTCACCGTTATTACGCGGGATCACATAGGTGACTGGTCCTTTAAATATCCCTTCATTACTCCCACGCGGATACCGTTTAAAACTCCATGTTACATGTGTTGGTGGCAACTCTACAACCACGATTTCACCTCGTACAGCATATACATTAGCATCTTGTACCCCACCCAACGTTCTAGAATGTATTCCAGTACAATTAATTACAATATCAGTATCGGGGAGAATTGCATCATGTATATGCGAAAATTCTTTGCGTTCTATATTTCCACCCAAAGCGAGAAAAGTGTTCAGCAGGAAATCGAGATAAACAGTAGGATTAATAGTGACCGTTTTATATGTAATCCCGAATTCTACATTATCAGGTAATTCTTCTTTTTGTAAATGACGATATCCCGGACAAAAATTTGAAAACCACGGCTCAATAAAATCTTCTTTATGCTCGTCCCAATAATCAAAACTATCAACGATCATGATCCCGGTTTCTGCCGGTTTCGTTTTAGCCAATTCGAAAAAATGAATTAATGTTTTTTTTTCGAATTCTTGTTGTCGTTTGTCGGTGATTAGACTTCGCCAATTCGCGCCTGCCCATGGACTTGTATATTCACCAGTTAGTTCTCCGGGAAAGTGTTTTGCAACTATAGTGACATGGTAACCTTTTTCTTGCTTTAACAGTAAAGTGGCTGTTGTTAGACCTGATACACCGGCACCGATAACTACGACACATTTCTTTGACATGTTAAATTGTCTCGTGTGACAGGTTATGCAGATAATGAGATAATGAGATTCGTTTATCTATGGCGAAAAAATTTCAATCACGTGGTTCCGTCCAGTTCGAAACTCGGTATTGTGATCGGAATCACGTGATCGAAACTTTTTTCCGATCAATTCATGGATCGTCGGATACTCGCCACAGACCAAGCATTTCGGATCTCTGCGGATCTTGAACTCTTGAGTGCATCAAAACTCACCAACCGTCAAGATTATTACAAATTCACAATCACGTAAGCGTTTTGTGGCGTAAATCAATAACGATAAGAACGAGTATCCTAGCCATGGCAAAAAAAGGGGATTTACTTAAATGTGCGGGTGATACAAGCTTCCCGAATAGGTGAATGTCTAAAGCATGGTCCATCACGTGACACATGACTATATAATTAAAGATTGATTCTAAGCTCAGGGCTAGGGTTAGGGCTAGAGTTGTGATCAAACTTATACATAAAATTACCTTTCCTACATTTTTTTATTAGTACGCCAAAATAGATTTAAGCATCTGTTTTCCGTTATTTTTCATATTTTGTTCGTGCTTCGGATTTGTTTTGTCGGGTTGATCAAAAATTACGCATCATTATTGGTTTGTGTTTCGGACTGATTATTGGATGAACCAGGCTTTAGACATGCCCCCGAATAGGAAAGATGTGGCTAGTAACGCTAATATATCGCTTGGGTTAGGATTAGGGTTAGAGCTGGAGGACAAGATTATATGTAAAACTGTCTTTCTGATATTTTTTATTAGTGCTTCAGATCAAATTTCAACACCTGTTTTTCATATTTTCACATTTTTCGTTTCTTGTATCGGATTTGTTTTGCCGGGTTGAGCCAAATTTGCTCATTCTTATTGGTTTGTGCCATCCGACTAGCCATAAATTTTCTTTTGATTTGTCTATCCTCGCGCATTTAAGTACAGTCTGACCTCTCTATAATCACACCCTCGGAATATGAAAAACTGTGATTATAAAGAGGTTGTGACTATATGGAGATCAAATTTCTTATGATTCATAATAAGTTGGGAACTGGAATAATGTGGCTATATTGATTTTGTGATTATATGGGAGGTGACTATGTGGAGTTTCGACTGTATACGCGCGTAATTATTATCTGTGCTCGGTTCGCGATCACATGATAACAAACCAATATGAATGCGCAAATCATATGTGTGCCGACAACTATTAAAAGTCAATTTTATCACTTGGAGGACAAAGTTATATGTAAAATGCTTCCCCGACATTTTTCACATTTATCATTTTTTTTCGGATTTGTTTTGCCGGGATGATCAGAAATTTGCGCATCCTTATTTGTTTGATCCTGTGCACGTGATCATTAACCGAGCACAGATTATAGGACAATGCTTAGGAACAGTGCTAGATCACGTGGCCATCAAAGATACACGCTCACGTGATCACGGAAAATTGACGTTATTTTATCGTTTGAATTAGAATTAGGATTAGACCACGTGATTCATCACTGTCCCGAAGCACTGTCCGTTTTTTTGCCATGGCTAGCGGAAAACAGATGGTTCTGAAGCGGAAGGCAATTTTACATAATCTTGTTTTCCAAACGATAAAATAGCCTTTAACGTTAATTTTCTGTGATCACATGTGTGTAAATTTGGGAAAATATTTATTTTTAGCAATAATTTTTCATTTTCTTTATATACATTTATATTTAAGAATCAAATCTTAAGATCGAAGTTTTAATTAGCAATATAAAGAAATATAATAAAAATATATAATTTTTATATATCTGAAATATCATTTATAATATAATGCAAATAAGAGTTTATTATCAGAGATTTAAAGTGCAAAGTTCAAATTGATTATAAAAATATAAAGAATATAAAAATAATATGAAACAATTAAAGAGTCGCAATTTTATTTAATAAATCAGTTATATATATAAATTATAAATTGTTATTTTTAGAAAGTTAATTAGTATCAGAAATTTAATTAAAAAAGATACTACATGATAGTTGAATTAAGTGAAAAAATCAGGTATCTGATTATTAATAAAGATCACTATCGCTGTAGCATTATGTCATAGTCTAAGTTTAAAATCTAATGCAAATTCTATATAAGAAGATATACTAATCAAGACACTTATTTAAAATAATTGATTTAGAAAGGTATTTTTTAATAGCCTTATAAGTAATATCAAAAAAATTCGAATCGGAAATTCAAACTTTCTACTCATTTGTGATCGGTCGCGTGCATAATCAAGCCTCATTGTTGCTTTTTGACCAAGTTCGTAATAATCGTAATAATACCTAGCGCTAGTCACTGAATGCGATTTCCGAGAAATAGCAAGACAACCAGCCACAAAAACAGTTTACATCACACAGCATAATTTTTTGTATACTTGATATTTGATATTATTCTTACTTTCTCCGAGGAAGACAACAACGAACAACAAAAGACTGCAAACCAACCAACCGTGCTTTTATAAAAAAATCATCTTGAATTTTCTCTTCATTTTCACGTGTTATGTCAGGTACCTGTTAACACAAGTTCTACCCACTCACTACTCCTAGTTGTTTTAATTTTTAAATGGGTGCGTGTGCTGCGCACACGCTATGATATATATATATATACTTTTTTTTTATTAAATGCAAAGTAAAATTGATTTTAAATTTTTTTTGTCTCACTTGATCTCCAAGACCAAAACCCTCAGGACAGGGGAAGGGAAGACGAACTTGACGATAATAATGAACCAGATAATGATGACTTAACAGCTGGATTGGCTGAAAATGCATCAGGTATGTTAGCATGCTCATCTTTCTACTGATTTTGTTTTCGGGTCTTTGGGCGGTGGTGTTGTGGTCGTGGAGTAGGGGACAGTCCGTTTCAACATAATATCTTATCGATCTGGCGCAGTTACAATAAACCTATATAAATATTGGACGATCTAATGTACACACCAGAAAATGCAACATACACATACGCACATACACGCAGTCTGTATTCACACCGGCCACACACACCACACCTCCACTTTAAAATGTTCGATCCTCTCTGTGTCTCCCTCTCTTTGATTTTCGTTATCTCACCAAAAATACCTATCACATTATCCAGAGGTACCTAACGACGACATGGAGGATGATGATCTCTTGCTAGACGATTCATTGTCGCCATTAGAAAAAATTTTCCTGTTTGCCAAAAGTGAAGCAGTATTCCATAGGTATCTATCTATACGTTACATGATAGTATATATTTAATTGATGTTTCTTTTTTTAATCAAAACAATTTAATCTTTTCCTAAGACTAACTTATATACACACATCATTATTATTATTTTTTATCCTTGAAATCTTGTCTGCTAAACAAATTTGTGATTTTTCTTTATGAGAGTGTATATTGCAAAAGAACTTTCAATGCTGATAAAAGATGTCGAGATAAGTGATGCCGTAGAATTTCTATTGCCATTAATGAATTCCTTGGGAACTGACCCAGGTATGCGTGGTAGTCCTAGCTAGAGGTGTATCATCATCATTATCATCAACTTGTACTTCTGCTTGTTAATCTATGATTCTTGAATACGCATGTAGCATCATTTAACACCTCCACTTAATTAATTTATAATAGATGACGCAGTAAGAGAAGCTTTCGCCCCTGAATTGGATAAAATTATATGGTTCTTTTATTCTGTATGTATCGTATGAGAGATTATGCATGATACATATCATTGTATGCATTATAATTCATGAAATAGTCTAAACGCGTGGATATTTACGTGGGGGTGGCACATAGCATTGTCCCATAAAAGAACCTACACCAGAAACGACGGCTACGATCATACCATATGAAATTAAAGATTCCATTCCACCAAGACCTCATACACCTCAAAGGCCGTCAACACCTCGAGACAGGTCTCAAAACCCACAACGACCACAAACGCCAAAACCCGAATCTTCAGTACTCCCATCAAGATCACAAACTCCTACCACTACCACCGCTGCCACGCCTAATCCACCTTACTTATCCCCACAATCGTTCACACCGCTTCTTCACGCTCTTCTTCTTGATCAGAATACCGGTATTGCAACTGCGGCACAGAATGTTGTGTTGTCGTTGGTGGGAAAAATTTTGGAGGATACAGAAGTCAACGCCAAGGATAAAGAGTACCTGGAGAAAGAGACGCTGGAAGGGGTGGTGTTGGGTATTGGTCGTTTGGATCAAGAAAGAGCGAAACGTGAAGAAACAGGCGAATGGGATAATGATAATGATGATCAGAGCATTAATGGAGTGGCTGGTAGTGAGGAGGAAGCAGAATTGGGGAGGATGACAATGATGTCGGTGTGTATCATCTTTATTCATAGTTTACTGGTTATTTTTTTATTATAATGAAGTGATTGAATTGATATTATATAATCTTAATTTAAATATAGCTAATTTCTGCATTAGCGTCAATTGTTGGTCCTGAAAGGTCAACTCGATTATTTATTCCCGAAATAGACAAATTAGCTGAAGAACCAGTGTTTTACGTAAGGAAGGTATGATATTAGATATTTAACTTATAACATTACTTTCATTCTAAGCGAGTAGACATATATACTCTAATCGATCTATTATCCTCTTAGGAAGCAGCTATGGCTGTTGGTGGTTTAGCTAGTATAGTGCCACTTGATGTAATTACTACAAAATTGGTAAGCGCATAACTATGTATTTTGAACATGAGCTGTGATTCGCTTCGCTATTGACGAAAACTCGTTTGACATGAATACCATCATTAATTATTCTTTCCAGCTTCCCATATACGACCATTTCTCAACCGACCCGATTTGGCATGTGCGACGTTCATGTTGCCTAGTGCTTCCCACAATATGCTCTCGCCTACCACCAGAAATGAAGTCCGATCGAGCAATCAAGGGCATCGACCTATTCGCCGGCGATGTCAGTCGTAGTGTTCGATCGGCTGCCGGTGAAATCATCGGTGAACTAATTGCAACCTTTCAGCCAGGTGGTGAAGTACCCGAGAAATTAGTTCAACATTTCCTTAGTTTGGGACCGGGGAGGGATACTTCGTTGGGTAGTACTGCCATTAATAGCACTTTGGCTTCTTATGGATTAAATCAACGAGATCCTGAGCGTCCATATATATGTTCTTATAATTTTCCAGGTGAGTTGGTAAATTTTTACATTGTATTTTATCATTGTGTGCTTTATTTTATTTTATTATATTTAACTTTATGTTTATTAGCTGTTGTATTGACACTGGGTCCTAGTCGCTGGGATGATTTAAAAGAAACTTATGCTTCTTTAACACGTGATCAGCAGGTAACATTTATAGTCAAAACAAAGAAGACGTATGCTCAGCCAAAAAGTCAAAGCTCCGAAAAAATAAAATAAAATAAATTGTGTATCTAGAGAAGCAGCAAATCAAAAAATTTTGAAATCAAGCTCTAAACATCACATAACTTTTATTCAGTAAAAATTAATATTTCTCCTACCTAATAAATAGAACAAAGTACGACGGTCCCTAGCCTGTTCGCTACACGAAATCGCAAAAGTAGTAGGTTCGGAAAAGACCGAACGTGACCTACTGAGCGTATTTGCATACTATCTTGCCGATCAGGACGAGGTGAAATCCGGCCTGTTGGAACACTTGGCGGCATTTATTGAATGCTTGCCCGAAAAAACTCGTAATGATTATTTGCCGTCGTTGAATGAAGTGTGGGACGGGGTAAAGAACCATTGGCGGTTGCGAGATGTTATTGCAAAGTAACTTGTTTTTTTTTTGAATTTTTATTAGATTCTTGTATTTATTTATTAAGAATCATTGTGATTGTTTATAATATTTAGACAAATACCAGCTCTCTGTCGACTATTTGATAGTCAAAGTGTAATGAATCATATACTGCCGTTGACAATTAGGGCTGTCAAGGATGTGATTGCTAGTGTCCGAGAAACTGCTGTCAGCTGTGTAAGTGGTTTTTTTATCACAAAAATTCTTTTTGTTAAGAGAGAATTATATTACTAATCTTTCTTTTCGCTAATCGTTATTACTATTGTTGATATCATTATAAGTTCCCAACATTGTTTGATGTGGTAAGAAATGACAACACATGCTACAACGAACTAATAAATCAAGTAAAGCAATTTGCGACAGATGCTGGATTCCGAGGGCGAGTTGTGTAAGTAGTTTATACAGCAATTTTTTCAGTCACTTTGTAATATACTTATCCAAAAAAAAATAAATTTCTCACTTCACTATTAATATTATAATAGATATGTTCAGATTGTTAATGCATTAATTTCGAAAAACACAATATCGAAAATCGAGTTCGAGACCCATTTTTTGCCGGCACTTGTAAGTCTTGCATCCGATCGTGTATCAAATGTGAGAATTGTGCTTGCTCGATTAGTCAGCGATATTTGTCGGTCAGGTAACAATCATCATTTATCATTTCAAAAAAAAAGTAGTCTTGACGAATCTGAATTTTACAATTAATCAATTAATAAATTTAATTAATAAAAAAGAGCGAGGCTACGCAAATCCATCTACTCGACCTATAGAAGCGAACGAACTAATAAAACTGCTAGCACAAGATTCAGACGTGGATGTACGAGCATTCGTCTATTCGTTATTACCGCCTGAAGAGCGAGCATCTCTGCTGCTTTCATCATCGTCAGCATCCTCAGCTAAAAATTCGATTGAGAAAACCGAAAACGGCCTGCTTCATAACAATAAAGAGAAAGATGATACCTCAATAAATTCCCCCAATATACATCAGATGACTGACGACATGGCAATTGATGAGCCAAACGATCAAGAAAATGGACTCCTTGATGATGATGATTCTTCAAATGCAATGATGGGTGAGATTCCGATTGCATTTATCGGGATCACTGGTGATGCTATGGAAATTGATGATAAGGTGACGATGAATGAATCGTCTATGCCATCTTCCACTTTATCATCGTCGTCGAATCCAGTTTTGTCATCCTCGACAGTGAACAACAATGATAATGATAATAGTCATAATATTGAGAATAATGACTCTTCAGGTGTCGTCGATATGATACCGCTTTATGATCACACATCACCATTTGGTGTCGATTTGATACCGATTTTGATTAGTGACTCGTTGAAAGCTATGCAGGAAAAAGGAGAGCAAGCTCATTCACAGGATAACGACACTATTAACGAACCTGAAATTAGTGCAATGAACATTTCTCTTGATGATGATGGTGGTGGCGATGGACAAAATGCCACGGAGCATGATATTAATCATGGACAATTATCTTCTGATGTTGCTAATATTAATACTATATCATCGACTCTACCATCTTTAGCTTCAAGTATGACAACAATAGATAGTGATTTGATGACAACGACAACTGCTTTGCATTCAGATTCTTTATTTACCATCCCCTCTTTGGAAGAGGAAGAAAGGATTATTAAAAAATTTGCCAATCCCTCTTTGGAAGAGGAGGAAAGTATTATTAAAAAAACAGAAGTCGACTCATCATTGTCAGCATTATCAACAACAGCAGCAGCATCATCTATATCATCGAATTCTACATCATCGAATTTGACATCATCGAATTTGACATCATCGAATTCTACATCACCGAATTTGACATCATCAAATGCTACATCATCGAATTCGACATTATCAAATGCTATATCATCGAATTCTATATCATTGAATTCTATAGAAACAAAAAACAGCGAGGAAAAAATTGTGAATGGTGAAGTTACTTCACTAATAAATAATAACAATGATAATAATGATAAGAATAATGATAATAATAACAATGATAATGGTAATAATAATAAAAATAGTAATAATAGTAATAATAGTAGTAGTAGTAGCAATATTAATATTAATGAAGAGAGGAAAGTGGAGCACGAAGAGAAAGCATTAACTTTAATAGCATCTGTAGTTACGGGTTCTCCCTCGAATCACGTAGACAGTGTTGTCATGCTATCCGAAGCCGAAAACACTTAACAGCCTGAAAACTGCAATAAAAAGGGTGGTTGGGAGTGTCCAAAGCATCATGGACTATTATTAATATTATTAGAAATGGATGCTTTGCTCCGAAATAGGTGATTTTTGGCAACAGAAAAGTGAAAGGAGGAATCGGTGACGCTTTTTGCATACATGCGTGGATCAATCGATAGATCTTAACGCTGATCGATAATCAGCATTCGACAACAATTAATTAATATAAAGACGTCTATCATAATAATAATGACTGGTTGTTTCTTTTTTGCAATCTAATTAATAGTAATCAAAAACTGTGCTGGCAATCTATCATTACTCAACAACATTATCGCTCTTTCGCCTTGAAACATTTGCATTCTTAGCATACTAAATCCATTATTATTATTATTATTATTTTATTTTGTATATTTTCACTACATTCATTACTTACATTGATTTATTATATCCTTACTTTTTATTATATATCCTCACTCATTCACTGTACGATAAGTTTTCTCCCCTCCTATTCTTCATGTTCACATATATATATATATATATATAATAATATACTACTTGAATCAGGCGGTGTTTATTTTCATACTTTTATACATAGATTTGTTAATAACAACAAATAATAATAATAATAATAGTTTTTGACTTTATATCATTTGTTTCTTGATCATAGAACGAACTCAAAAGTATACGTAACTTGAGCTTATAGTTATTGTGGAACGTGGTATACTCATTAATCATTGTCATTTTAGATTGAAAGTCGATTCTTTTCTTATTATGTGCGTGGTTAATAGAACAACCAATAACAAAAAAGTGAATCACGCGTCATTTTTTTTACCTTGAATGGATAGAAACAATACATATAACGATAATCTTCACCAATATGCCATTAAAAAATAAAGTACTTATTATTACTGGAAGCGCAAATGGGTTTGGAGCTGCGTTATCAAGACGAGTTGTTCGTGAAGGGTAAGAATGAGATAAATGCGTAGTCTTTGATGAATAGACAATTTTTTCATATATGTCTATCATTTAAAATAATGATAGAGCTAAAGCTGTGTTAGGCGATATCGATCAAAAAGGTGGCGAGGCTATTGAAGTAGAGTTGAATAATAAGTGTTTATTCATTTATCTTTTATTAATTCCATGATTCAATGCCACTTTGTATATTGATTTCTGATTTTATTAATTGTATTATTGTGTGCCGCATCTTCATAGTAATAAGAAGAATGTCAAATTCGTGATATGCGATGTTCAAAAACGCGCAGATTTGATAAAATTGTTTGAGACTGCTGAGAAAGAGTTTGGTGGTGTTGATGTATGTTTATATCTATGTTTTTATATTTTTATTTATTAATACTCGATGGTAATTATTTGCATAGATTTTGATCAATAACGCGGGAATTAGTCGAATTCCAGACTTGTATGATGGAAGTGGTAATTGAACTAGCTAGCATCCACGAATTAGGCCCTTTGAGCATGTACCATTGATTTTTTAATTTTTTTTTAGAAACATGGAAACAAATAATTAGCGTTAACTTAAATGGGGTAATTGAAGGAACACAATTGTCGTTTCCATATTTTAAGAAACGCGGCGGAGGAGTAATCGTTAATGTTGGTTAGTAATAGTTCATCACTTTTGTCACTTTCAGTTTTTTTTTTGTGTCTGGTCGTGATTGGACTGATTATATATATTGAATAATTTTGTTATCGATGATGTGCGTGCACGTGCAAAGCTTCGATGGCAGGAATTCAACCTTATTACGTTGGATTATTCCCGGCTTATGGAGCTTCAAAAGCAGGGGTATTTGACCACTAGTTTTGTTTGCTATTGACTGGAGACGAAATTTTTTTAGTTTCTATGATAAAATTTTATTACAGGTAATTGCGTTTACTCGTGCTCTTCATGGCCTGAAACAAACAGCAAATATTCGTGTGAACGCAGTTGCACCTATATTTTCCGGTAAACACCTACATTTACTATGATATTAACAATAATAGACCTTTTTCCAAACACTCTGATGTCACTTTATTACAATAATAAAGACACAAAACTACTTCGCGAAGGACTCGAAGCCTCCAAAATGTTCAGACAACAAGTAGAAAGCGCCGGCACCGTAACAGTCGAGGAGGTGGTCACTGCCATTGTGCATTGTATCGAGAATGAGAGTTTGGTGGGTGAGGTTGTTGCTGTTACCCCTCGGAATCAGCTTTTCGTGGTTCCGAAGGAGAAAGGAAAGTTTTAGAATAATGATAAGAATATGAGAATATGATGTGATGACCAGTGTTGGTAAATGGCATTAAAGGACATCCGTTTTATTATAATTTCTAAGTGTTGAGTGACAAATGACAAAAAATATTGACTTGTGAGGTTGGTAATTTTATTATAGTAATGAAAAGTTTACAATGTTTTAATGTTCCGAATTTGGTTTGATCGAATATCGAACCAAATAACATTTGACAATATACAGTGGCTCACAAAAGAAACGGAACGCCGAAAAAAATGGCGAGATACAATACCTCGCCATCGAGGGAATATCGACAAGTAAAGGTAAATTATTTTGATCTATCTTCTAACAAAAGATAATGATTTTTTTATTTTTTTTTGCTAAAAAGCTAGGCACAAATGCTCACTGTAAATAAAATACCTTCCGACAAGGATATTCGATTCGGGAAATTGGAACGTTCGGGTCACGTGATATTTTTGATGATGTCAGCAATGATGACCAATTAAATCACAAGATCAACGTATAACACAAAAATTCATATTTTTACAAATTCATCTTGATCCAGATCCTAAGGGGAGCGCTATTTATCGGGTGATTTGGGGTGGGGAGGTACCTCTCTAATTAATGAAAATCATCTGATAAATGGCGTTCCCCTAACCCTTTCACATTGTTACATATGTTATCAAAAAATCACGTGACACAAATTTTAGAGGGCATCCTGTGGATTAACGAGTCATTATATTATTAACATATCGATATAAACGATTATCTGATACACATTTAAACCATAACGGTAAGAAATTCAGGACTTAGGAAATGATAAATTTAAAGGACAAAATATTTATTATTACAGGTGGCGCAAGAGGATTTGGTGAAGCATTAGCTGATAAAGAATTTTAAATACAAATTGTTATGTGTGATTAGTGTTATATTTAGTAATGAAAGTTTGATATTTAAATGTCGTTTTAGCCGATATTAATAAAGAATTAAGACAAGGTGAATTTGAGGGGGGAGGGTTAATTAAATTTTGATGCATATGCCAGTGTACTTGGCACTGTTTCAATTCAAGATGTTGTGAATGAATTAGTATTAATATTACAAATATATAGTATTGATTTTTGACAATAAATTATCAGAAATCCAAAAAAATAATAAATCATGATAAAAATTGAAATTTTTATTTTTATTAATAAATATTTTTTGTTTTATATTAAATAAAGCTAAGAATTTGTATTTAATATATATTTTTATAGATTTTTTAAATTTAATTTCAAGAATATTTTGAATTATAAAGTTAGTTACACAAATTTTTTATAATTGAAAATTTAAATTTATAAATTTTAATTATAAAAAATTTATATAATTAAGTTTATAATTTAAAATATATAAAAAACAAAAATTATTTATTAATAAAAATAAAATTTCATTATAAAGAGATAATTTCAATTTTATTATATTTTATTTTTTTGGATTTCCAGTAATTTATTATATAAATATATATTAGTTTAATATATAAAACAAGTTTATAAAATCAAAATTTAAACAAAATAATACAATTTTATTATAATATTAATTTTTATAATAAGTTATAAATATAACAAAAATTTAAATAAAAATAAAATTTAGAGAAATAAATAAAAAATTATTAAAATATTTATTAAAAATATTAAAAGATTTTTTAATATATTTTTATATACAGTAACTAATAAAATTATGAATATATATATATAATTTTATTAATAAATATAGTAAAAATTAAAATTTTTGTCTTATATAAAAGTTTTTAATTTTGTTAATAGATAGTTTTTATTTTATATTTAAATAAAAATTATAATTTATAGTTTAATATATATTTTTCTGAATTTTTTAGATATTTTTCTGACAAAGTTGTTATAATTACAAAATTATTGCAAAAATTTTTATAATATAATTTTGTAATTAGAACAACTTTGTTAGAAAAAAATTTATATTAAACTATAACTTATAATTTTTGTAAAAATAAAATATATTTATTAATAAAATTAAAAACTTTTATATAAAAAATTTCAATTTTTATTATATTTTATTAATAAAATTATATATATTTTTATATTTTTATTAGTTAAAATATATAAATTATAATTTTTATTACAATATAAAAATAAAAAATATTTATTAAACTTTTATATAAAACAAAAATTTTAATTTTTACTATATTTTATTAATAAAATTGTATATGATTATATTAGTTATTTATATTATATCTATACATATAATATCTTTATTATAATTAAATTAAATATAATATTAATTAGTAAAAAATATTTATTATAAATAAAGCACAATTAAAGCTTTAAAAAAAATATCAATTGATCACTACAAAAATCTAGCTAGTTAATAAACTATTTATTATTTATTATTAATAAAATTTGTATATTGATTAATTTTAAATAATATATAATAATTTTATTATTATATTTTTTACTATTGCTATCTCAATTAGCATTCTGTATATAAATTATATAAGTATAATACAAAAATAATAATATTACTAAATAATTTTAAATTTATAATAAAAATTATATTAAATATCAAAAAGAAATTATAAAAATAATTAAAGTAATAAATTATTAATTTTAATTTCTATTAATAATTTATAATTACTTGTTTGTTATTAAACAAAGTACTATTTATATATAAGACTATAACAATATATAGAATATTTTACAAGTTATGAATACAAATTAGTACTGTTATTTTTAAATTAGTACTATTATTTTTTCAAATTAGTACTACTATTTTCATTTTTGCACTATCATTTTTACTTTTATCTTATCATTTTCTTTATCATTATTTATCTTTTTATAATATAGATAATATCAAAATATATTGAAAATTTTTATATAAATAAAAGTGTTATTTTAACTATATATATAATAAAATTAATTTTATCTTTTTTTATAGTAATTAATCAGATAAATTACTAATTATTAATTAGTAATTAATTGAATAACTATATAAATAAAATACTATATTAATATTAAAATTACCAAATATGAAATACAAAAATATATATAGTCTTAATATACTTTCTCATATTTTAATATTTTAAATAAATTAATAAATTTTTATTTTTATTTTAATAAGTTAACTAATTATATCTTGTTATTATATTATTAATATTTATTTTTATTTTTATTTTATCAAAAAAAGTTATTGACTAAAAAATTTGTTTAATTACATTTTAAATTTTGTTATTCAAGTTGTTTTTCATAAATCTTGAGTAAAATCAAGAAACTGAATATTAATTTGTTTAGAATTGAATTTTTAATTATTTATTGAGTCTTTAAACTTTGAAAAGATGAAATATATTTTTGAATTGAATATTTGTAATATTTTGATTAAAGATATTTGATTTGAATATAAATATTTTATTTTCTTCTTAATATTGTTACTGATTTAATATCATCAATAATTTAATATAAGAATATATAAATAAAAGACGCAGTTATAATAAAAATTAGTCACAATGATATTTATATTACATATTTAGTTCAATAATATTTTACTTCTTTCTATTTTTTTCTTTTTCTTTCTCGTATTACTTATCTTTCTATATTTATTTCATTGTTATCTTTATTTGAACATATTAATTACATTATTCTCTTGTCAAATTTTATCATTTTTTATATTAGTTTAGCTTCTATTTTCTATTTTTGCTATTGATACTTAGGTATAGAACAAGATTATTAATTATAATATAGTTAAATTTCATGTAATTTAGAAAAGAACCAGTAATTTTATAATATTAGTAAAGATTTACTGTGCCATATGCTACACTGTAATTACATTATACTATATTATACTGTGTATTACTGTGTTATTGTAATATAAAAACATGTATAAATACAAGTGCTGATAATTAATAAAAATCAAGTTCTCTCAGTTCAGTTTAAGTTCTTCAGTTCTAGTTTTAAGTTCTTAAGTTTTGTTTAAGTTTCTTTTGATTTAAGTCAAGTTTGACATTTTATTTTGGAATTTTAAGTAGTTTTTGGTTAAGTTTATCTTTTAGTTTAGTTTTATTATTAGTTTAGTTTTATCATTATTATTTTTTATCTTATCAAGAAATATTATTCTATCATCATAAACATCATTTAATTATAAAATTCAAAGTAAATTGCTGTGAACATAGTCACTATTGCCATTTTGAAATACTTTTATATGCAAAAGCTCAAAATAGTAACAATATTAAAAATACTAGAATATATGTCTATAAGTATAGAAATATTAATATTATTTATTTTAATAAGTAATTCTTATTAGTTTAATTATCTTTTAAACACATTTTTCCAATTTCTTTTCTTACTTTTTAATAAAATTGTTTAATATTTTCTATTAAAATTAATATAGATTTAAATACTAATTTTTATACTGATCAATTTATTAGTTTATTTCTCTTTTTCAATTTATATATTTTTTTATTAAAAGTGAAGAAACTTTTTATTTAAAATAACTATAATAATATAATTCAATTTTTGTTAAACTAACTTTATTTAATAAATTAATCAGTAAATTAGTTATAATAATAGTTTTTATAAAAGTTCATGTGTTAAAAAGAGTAGTTATAATTATTTAAAATTTATAAAAATAAAATAAAATTAAAAAAATTAAAAAATAAAATAAATATTTTTTTATAAAAAAATATAATAAGAAAAAAGAGATTAATAATAATTCTATTGATCAATAATTAAATTTTTTTATTATTTATTATAAATATAAATAATAAATAATAGATAAAAAATAATAATATTATTATCTTATTATTTATTTTTGGATAATAATAATATATAGTCAAATTCCTCTATAATTATTACTCTTAGAAAAGCAAAATATAGAAAAAATATGATTATAAATAAATTTTTTATTATATCTATATATAAATAGAAAAACAAAATAGAATGATTATAGAAAAATGTAACTACAAATAGATATAATTATAGAAAGATTTAATTATATAAATAAAAATAATATGATAAAGA